TGGTTTGTACAACTACTTATGTCTGCCATGTAAGCTAAAACTATAACATGATTTTTCCCCTTTATGTTGCGAGTGACAAATCGAAGAGCAAGTTTTTTTTTTTTTTTTTTTTTCAATGATATAATTGTTAGAGTAAACATACACAGGGTCAGAGTGACACTTTTATAGTACATACACTTTCAGTGAGCACTTTATCAGAAGAAAATTTTAAAAACTAAACCCTTCTTGGTGAAGCACTACTTATCTGTAATGTTATAGCAGATTTAGTATGAATTAGTTTGTTAAACAAGTAACTTAGGATTCCTTTCTGTTATTTGGCCAAAGGTATCCTTTGATATGAAATATATCTTGAAACAGAGAAAAGTGATTTTTAGCTTCATTGCAGAAGAACTTGTAAGATTTGTAAGCTGTGTGTTGTTAATTTGTGATGATTATAACAATTAAGTTGTGTGGTGTTTCTATTAGCTGCATTTATATCTGACAAATGAAAACATTGTTGGCAGTTAATCATATTTAGTCTTTATTTGGATATTTCTTGTTCATTAAATGTAGATGGAATGATATACCTTGACAAACATCTAATTAGAAGAGAGATGTTTTTTTTTTTTTATTATAGAATTTTTAGTGAAAGCATGAGTGCTTTATATTTTTTTCATTAACTTTCTTGGGACAAAAAGTTGAAGTCAAAGACAGGTAAGAAAGAAAAAAAAACACTGGACTGTTTTATATTTATTGTGCATATGTTATATTCAAATGGAATTGTACCATATATCATATATTATTTACAAAACCAGCTTGCCATAGAACATCTTCAAAAAATGTATGAAAGCCAGTCTCCAGAAACTGGTTATAAATATGATCTTCCTTCTTTCAAAGGAAGATGTATTTATTTGAAGCCTAATTTGAAAAGTGAATGCCCAGAATAAGACAGGTTTTTGTTGTGTTTGACTTGTGTGCATTAGTGAAAAACAAGATAATATCTAGTCATTTATAACTTAGTATACATATATATATGTATACATAAATATTTAATAATGCCCAAATAAACTAAAGCTACAATTTATCCGAAATATTACTGCCAGACCTTCAGTAAACAAATGTTAACATTGGAAGAAATTAATATGATAATAATAATAATAATAATAACAACAATGATAATGATAACAACAATAATAATGATAATAACATTGTCACTAATATTAATTATGATAATAATTTATCATTATTATAATAATGATAATAGTTAATAGTAGCAATAGTAATAATATTGATAAAAACTGACATTTTAGCAACAACCATTAAATCATTACAAAATGTAAATTCATGATTTTCTAAATCCAGTACTAAAGATATCCAAATCCACTGATGATTTGACATAGAAAAATACTCAACAGGCTTGTTAAAAATTCCAAAGGGAAGAAAACCAAACAAAAAATAAATAAAAGTATACATACAGTGTAACAGACAATGAAAAAAAAAAAAAAAATCTATTGTTACTCTACATACTCAACACAATTCTTAACCATTCAATAAATTACTCTATAACTCAAAAATAATTTCTAAAGACATCCAACATCACTTCATAAAGTCAAAACCCATTTAAAATACCAACTCATACCAGCTGAAGATTCAACCTTTCGGAAATATACTGCCACACCTTCAAAACTGGCATGTTAAGAATCCTGTCTGGAGCGTATGGGCAAATGGGGAAGGAGACTGCACACTGTCCACTGACTGACCCAAACCCTTCTCTTGCTGAGGAAATATAACGCCACATGAGGGAGTCTGATGTGGTTTTCACGGGGCCATGGTTGAGCCTGTGGAAAGGAGGGGAAGAGATATGTGTTAATAATGAGGAAATTGCATATGGCACTATATGATAATGGCACACACACACACACACACACACACACACACACACACACACACACACACACACACACACACACACACACACACACACACACACACACACACACACACAATAATCATACCAATAATGATAATGATGATATGATGATGATGATAAAAATGATGATAATGATACCGATGATAATAATAATGATAATAATAATGATGATGCGAAGATTATCATGATTATGACAATGACCAACAGCCACGAACACTTCACCTCAGCTCCTTCATGAAGATCTCCCCGATGGGCGAAAAACTGTCTGGATCAGCAGCCAATTCGCAAAGGAGTCGCTCTTGGCAGGACAGAGTAGGAAGCTGTAAAGAAAATGAAAAATGAGTTGTAGAACAATATCATTATATACACATATATCCATGCATATATACATGTATACGTACATTCATTCATAGGTAGATACACACATACATACACATAAATACCCATACATATGCACAGGTACATGTACAAAAAGTATGGAAAAGAATTAATATCTTCACTGAGCAAGAGGATTGTAATGATATGACAATTATATGTTTGTGTGTAATAATAATAATAATAACAATAATAATAATAATAACAGTAACAATAACAATAATAATTATCATTATTATAATGACGATATTATTCTTATCATCTAATGATAGTAACATTGTCATTATCATCATTTATATTTTCATTATTATCATTATTTCTTATCATTAATATTTTCATTATCTTTACCATTAGCATTATTAATTTCATTATCATTATTGTTATCATTATCAACATCAACACTGTAAAGCTATTACTTAGAAATATTGGCATTTATGTAAAAGGTACAAATGACATATCTGGTTGAATATATTTTGGTTCTCTGCATCAACCTCGCGGAGGCGTTTCCTAGACTGACGCAGGTCCAGAAGGTGGGCACGATGTGTAGCGGATGTTTCGCTGTTTCTGGCGACCTCTTTTGCTAAAAACTCTCTCCCATTTTCTATGGAGTGGATTTTTAGCCGATTTAGCGCATCGGGACATGAGGTATAGTTTGATAATTTCAAATGCACAAGTTTTTGTTGTTGTTGTTGTTCTTTATATCTTCACTAATAACGACTCCTCACCGATTCACTTCAGAAGCGCGACTGGAATATTGAATTTGACTTCTAATTCCGTTCAGAAACTCGTTCACATGATTCATGGAATCCTGTAGCAACATGTTTGCCCTGATTTGTGTACGATTGCCAATAAGTCACTCACACATTCATAGACCTTCGCGTGTGGAACATTATCCTTACTAACCATTGTTACGAATAACAATGTGCCGAGAACGGTTCCTTCAGGGTCACCGCAAATAAATTCAATCAATTCGGATGGTTATTTGCTCGATCAAGGAGATTCATTTCTCCCAGCCGTCGCGAAAATCCAGGAAAATCATTTCCTTGATTAAGGTGGTGTGATCGATGAGGTCGAATGCCATCCGCAGGTCGATGGTGACGGAGGTCCCGTTCTCTCGTTTGTCTGCTTTTGAGGTGGTGTAATAACAAAGTCAGCCAGGCAGTAGAAGGTGGAGCTTCCTTTGATGTTTCCGAACTGATGATGATCAAATTGGAGATTAATGCCTTTCACAGTTCCGTAGCAATTACTCTCTGCACGATTTTGCACAGATGTGATTTTGCACAGATGAGATGTGATTTTGCACAGATGTGATTTTGCACAGAAGATGAGATGTGATTTTGCACAGGGGAGATGCACATGTGAGCGAGATCAAGGACGACAGATGGACTCTGAGGCGCCGAGAGAATTTGATGGCATTATTCTAGGGACATGAACTGTTCAGTTCAGTGAGATTCGCCAAGATTCTGGCCTTACATATATGCGATCATGGTCTTTTTCAGCGATGTAGAGCTGTCTCAACAGATCCATTAACACTGAATGCTTCCCGTGGTGGCCGCATTGTCTGGCATGGTTTGTTTCCATAGGACAGGAACCACGTCCTCAGCGTGAGAGGTGTTGCAGATATCACAAAAAGAGCGTGGGGGAGCTCGAGAGCAAACTCCCACAATAATCTTGGAGGATGTCGTCAGAGCCATGAAATTTACTTTTGCTGCCCTCTTTATGTTAGTATACATCGCTCTCCCTTAAATTTGCTTGAAGGGGGCGGAAGAGTGTTGTGCACTCGCAACTGTTTTATGCAGTGGTGGGAGTAGCTCGTTGGTTTTAGCAGAATTATTACTGATGCTTGCAGCGATCTCGTGCGATCCGGCAGTTTCGTTGATTTGAAACAGGTACGAGTAATGCCGCTTCTCTTGTCGCCAATTATATTCATATATTTTGTGACTGTATCGTCGTTTGTGGTTTGCTTCATAAATTTTGACAATATTTTTAACAACCTAAGGCAGCAAGCAAGGTGAATGTTAGTGAGTGTTCTGCCGGATTTCGCTACAGCTGGCGCTTTTGTTGACGAGTCCTGCTGGAGGCTGCGACGGTAAGAAGTTAGAAAGCCTCTCACAGAGATAGGGAAGGAATCTGCCGTTAAAAACTCGTCAGCAGAAATTACCCTCTAATTGAATCGGTAAAACTGGAATATGAATGACTCATTTTCGTTTTGAATTCATCTACATCTTCTAGTTCAGGAAGTTAATTGACAGTAATAATCGGGAAAGTTCTTTCTTGTAGCCAGTGGTGTTGATTGGCGCTACGAGAGTGTGGAGCAAAATATATTTGTACACGTGCGTGTGTGTGTGTGTGTGTGTGTGTGTGTGTGTGTGTGTGTGTGTGTGTGTGTGTGTGTGTGTGTGTGTCCCTCCGTCGTCCGCAACCGAAGTCCTCTCACCTCGAGATGAGCAAAATAGGCACTAAGCCTTCCCAACTGCTCTTCGTAGGCAGGCTCCCACAGCAGGTCGTCGGGAATCTCATCCCCTTCTGCCAGCGTCAGGAACTGCAGGGAGCGGCCGTTCACAGAAGCCAGGGTCGGTAGGGCCAGGGAGATGGGCATGTTGAGAATAAAACCTGTGGGAGGCGATTGAACAAGCAGAGAAATTAATGAACATGTCAGGGAAAGAGTATGAGGGAGATAGGAACAGACGGGAACGTACGCAGACATACACACAGA